CGAAGTTTGCAATTTTCAGTCATTTTAGATTACAAACGGGAAATTGACAGCCCCAAACCCTTTGAGGCTGTCAATTTCATGTTTGTAATCTAAAATGACTGAAAATTGCAAACTTCGCATGGCTATATTTTCCGCATTTTACAACATTTCGCAACGAAACTTTGGAATATTACTAATGTTGTGATGCTCTTTCAAGCTGTGATGAAATTTTTGTCTAGACTTGTTTAGATCAAAATTTAGTCTATTACGCAAATGGTCAATTCATTGATAATAAATACTGACACACACATAAAAACGCACAAGTTGTAACAAGATTGTTGTGAAGCGGATATCAGGATGTGTTCGCACTGCTTGTTCCCAGTTGTTGCGACAAGTCTGGAACAAGTTGTTATCACCTTGTTACAAGGTTGATGACGGTAACAGACTTGCTACAAGTTGTTCCAACAAGATTAATACAGGCTGTTCACGTAACAAGTTGCTACGAGCTTGTTGTCATCAACTTGTTACGTGGAGACGATATCAGACTTGTTGGAACAACTTGTTGCGAGTCTGTCAGTTGGCCTGATAAACCTTAGATAGATAGATAGACAGATAGATTGTTCTTAAAGAATATAGCAGTGAGGTTTTTAAAGCAGTGAGGTTTTTATGACTTGAAATGACTTGACCAAACATCTAAGTTTACTAAATAATGTATTCAAACGATCTGTTCGGCATTTTGGGGACGAAATCGTCAAAAATGTAAGGCCGTGTTGTCTCAATACTCGCCAATCACAACCAATCACCGAAGATGAAGTACCCACACTTATCAACCGCTGTACGATCATACTCATCCGTGCAGACTCAGAATTCTGCTTTGTTTCACATTGTAAATTTCTGAAAAGAAGACACATTTTGAAGCTGAAAAAATCTCCTATTTTTTAACCGATCTCTGTTAAAAGAAAGCATCAAAATTCGCTGTAAGTATGCTTTACCTTGCCGGATTTACCTGTGGAAAAATAAGTTGTTTTAGGGTAGTATTTTCAACAATAAATCGCCTTAAATTTGACAGTTTCATTACTCGTGCTGGTGTATTTGTCTTTAAAACGGTTGTTTAATGCTTGGATCAAACTCATTCCATGTGTTTGGGCACAGATCGAAGCATGATAAATACTTCTTTATACGTTATAAGTGGTGTTTAGGTTCCTTTAGTCTAAATTAGCTTTTAAATTTTGTGTATTACATTGTAATTCCAATCATTGGTTATTGAGACGAGAGCGAGTTATATGATTGGTTGTCTTCTCTCATCCAAGAAATTATATTTATTGAACTATGTTCACATTACAAATTAAATTAGCAGTTGTGTAAACCCACAATATCTTGTAAATATTCCTAGTAGGAAAGTCTTGACTTTGCGCTCTCTCGAGTAATCGTGCTCAACTCATCTACTACATATTAGATGACGACTCTACAATTGTGAAGTAAAATAAATGTACCAAATTGTCTATTAGCGTTCTAAGTATTTTCACAAACATTACAACAAATCAATACTCGTGCTAAAAGAGCAAAGAAATTTCAACGAAAAGCATTCGAGTTTACTGTTTTGAGACCTGATCTGAGGCTTGGTTTGCAAAAGCGGTACAAAAAAGTAACGGTGCTTGTGTTGACAAAGCCGCCCACGCTCCGTTTTCATCTCGCTTTGTTTAGAAACTGTGCTCAAATTGTCATGGCAAAAGTGATGTGTTTTCAAATAATTTTGCTCCGGCGTAGTGTGACTACATTTTAGCATAATTTTACAGATAAAGCTCTAAACATACATGTACTGTTTGCCGCTTGAGAAATGTATAAAAAATTATAAAAATTGAAGTCGAATAAACCAAGTGGAAATTAAATTAATTAGTTTTGAGTGTGTGTTATGTAACATACAAAACATTCTCCTCTTTATCTGACTATTTTACTCTGTCTAATACCAGACTTCAAGGGAAGAGCACCGATGCTCGATGGGTTAATTATGATATGAATGTCAGCTTCATAAGTATCCAAGTTCCAGACATTCAATGACTCTGAAACCTTTTCTTTGTTCCTGTCAATCAATTTAGGTCCTTATGATGACAGAAGCTGTACCTGTATATGCGGCGGAGCCCGTGGTAAGCTTTATGCAATTTTACCCAAGTAATTTTTATTACAGCATAAGAAACAAGCCTTAAAATATCGGTCGGTCACAGACATTGTCCAACCCATTTGTGAAATTGTTTGACGTAGAGAGGAAACCACTGGACATTCTGTCCGACTTAAGTGAAACTGAGGTTTATTGTTTGTCTGACCCGAGTGCATTGGTGTCCGACCTAACTGTAACTTTGTCCAATGTCAATCAAAATGTACCCTAGTCCAGGACTAGAGGCTCGTATGTTAAATGGAGAATCAGAGTAATGCATAAAAAGTGAACTGGAATGTGTAATCAAGTGCGGGGTTTTCACTGTGGGGTTCGGAAATTCATTGCCAAGATTCAAATGACTTTTCCAATTTCCAAATTGTACTCATATTAATTAGTGTCTGCATTCATACTTATTTCCAAGCCAAACTGAACTCAAAGTCATCGGACATCACAATACATATGTCCGGCTCAAAGTCATTGAACATTTTGTCAGACGGTTATCTGATTCTTCAAGAGAAAAGGCAAGCACATTGTGTTGCCAGATAATAAAGGCACATTGTTAATTAGAGTTATTAGAATGTTGGGGTTTGTAATCCAAGTGATTATATACATTTTAAGACCTAACCAGGAACGACTGCGAAAAATGCAGCACAAGGTCCTCTGGTAGGAATTGAACCTACGGACCTGCGATTACGGTGCAGCGCTCTAACCAACTGAGCTACAGAGGCCAGCTGTTGAGCTCTAACCGTAAGTTCATGTATATATAGGTAATTGAGTGTGCGGGTTGTGATAAGGTGGACTTCAATTATTTGGATTCTTGCACTTCACTTGGTGGAATTAATATTAGAATCGCAGGGCCGTAGGTTCAATTCCTACCAGAGGACCTTGTGCTGCATTTTTCGCAGTCGTTCCTGGTTAGGTCTTAAAATGTATATACCCTGGTAGAAATCTTAATTAAGATCTTAGGTAAGATCTTATTAAGATCTTAATTAGGATCTTGTTAAGATCTTAATGTAAGATCCTATAAGATCTTATAGGATCTTGTAAGATCTTATTTAAGATCTTGTAAGATCCTAATTAGGAT